GGGGGTCTCTGGGGAGCACACCGAGATGGGGTGACTCTGCCTCGTTAGCCGGGGACTGCTTTTCCCATTGGCTGCCGGACTCCGGACTCGAGATGCGGGACCTGTGCCCAGCCTGCCCACGGAGCCCCGAGGACAAGGGGGTGTAACGCTGCCTCCTGCTGGCTGGGGCCGGAGCTGCTCAAGTCTGTCAAACCCCCCTGCTGTGGGGGGATCCCAGCCCCACGGGGCCCAGACTGGTTCAGGTGATAAACTAAAGTACAGGGGATGACCCTGCCCCTTTCTGTAGTGATCCTGCAGTGACTCCGCCCCTTTCTGTAGTAACCCCGCCCCTTTGTGCAGTGTCCCCGCTTTTCTCCAAGCAGACCCTGCCCCCTAGCCCGGGCTCCCCTGTGTGATTGACTCCATGGTCCAGCTGTGGGGCTGCTGGCCCCTCCGGCTGGGGGTCTCTGCTTATTGTTATTAAAGGGACAGTGTTGGGAGAACAATGGCGTATCGCCCGTGCCTACCCCTGTCCCTCCCCGCGCTTTGCCCCACAAGCTCCCCCCCTGCCCCCAACGGGGCCCAACAGACTCGAGACACTAACCAGAAACCTATGAAAAATTTTCAGCATCTATGTCCAACCCTTGCCCCTGGGAGCTGAGCCCTGCAGAGTCTGGGGGAGAAGGGGCTGGATTTACCCCCCACCCCAACCCCACACGCTGAGCTGAGTCCGGCAAAGGATCCCCCAGCCCGGCACCATGGTCACAATGCATTTATTCACCGCACGGCCCTGGGCACAGGAGAGAGGAGATTCCGCATGGTAGAGCTGGGGGGAGGGGGAGCTGGGAGCCAGGACTCCTGGGTTCTCTCCTGACTCTAGGAGGGGAGTGGGGGTTAGTGGGTAGAGCGGGGCGCTGGGAGCCAGGACTCCTGGGTTTTGTTCTAGGTGCTGCCCCTGGCTTGCTTTGTGACCTGGGGGGCATTGCAGCCCCTCTCTGTGCCTCGGTTTCCCCAGAAATGGAATGGCTCTGTCTGGGCTCACCCACCTCCTCGGGAGGGGGGCCCCTGGTTACTTGGGGTCTACAAAGCGCACTGTGAGTCTGGGCGGGGGGGGGTCGGTTTCTCTGGCCCCCACCCTCTACTCAGCTTTCTTCAGGCTGAGTTCACCATGGCAACCAGCGTGGCGTATTCCTGGAGGTCGCCGTGGGCGTCCAGGTCCCTGAAGAGCCGCTCCAGGGTCTCGGGATGGCGGATCTCCTGCAGCCCAGGGAGAGGGAGTTTATGGGCCCCGGGCCTTTTCCCTCGCGGGGGGGCTGGCTTGGGGGGCAGGGAATGGGGCACACTTCCCCAGGGGGACAGTCTCTGCCCAGGGCCCCCGCCAGGCAGCTCCATCAGCTGCCCCCAGCCAATCCCCCCTCTCCCCTTCCTGCACCGGGGGCACCTGGTCCAGGCCGGGTGCCCCTCGGTGCCGCTGGCGCTCACCTGGCCCAAGAGCCGCAGTAGGTGTGGAGCACTGCCAGGGTGGAGAGCAGCGCCCGCTCCGGGGCCAGGGCCGGCCTGGGGGCTGGGCACAAGGGGGTGCGGACTGGGCGGGGGTGCAATGGGGTGATGGGGGAGGGGCACCAAAGGTTGGTATCAAGGACACAACACAGCTGGGCCCTTGAGCACTGCCCCCCAGCCCAGTGACCTGCCCCGCACCCCCCCATGGGCATTATTAACCCTTTATGGCCCGGGGGGGGGGAAGCTCACCCTGCTGCTGCTCGT